AGACTGCTGCAATAAAGCAAGTATCACAAGCAAGCACGTCAAATGGCTTTTTTTTGGTTTGTTTTCCTTGCATATATAAGTTATATTTACACCATACTATAGTCAATTAAGTATGCAATAGCATTATGTCTTTAAAATAAAAATATTTTATTGGTACAAAATGTTAACTATTATCTGAGCTTTCAGCAAGTCTTAATCACTGAGCACAGATCACCTTACTAAATATAATAATAATGAAAAAGTTGAAAATATTGTGAGAATTGCCAAAATGTGACACAGAGACATGAAGTGAGCAAATTTCATGGGGGAAAAAATGGTGCTGATAGATTTACTCGACCAAGCGTTGCCAGCAATCTTAAATTTATAAATAACACGGTATCTATGACATGCAATAAAGCCAAGTGCAATAAAAGAAGGTATGCCTGTATTTTAAATTTCTTTTGGTTGTGGAATTGTGCTTCCTTGAGTGCAGCACAAGACTGGGCCATGAGGGGCTCTTGATTTATGCAGGTTATACTTGTGTAACATTTAGAGCAGGTGCTCTTAACGCTGGACTTGTGGGAGGGCTTTGGGTTGTTTAGAAATCCTCATAATTGTATGCAGTTTTTGTGGTCATGTGTCTATGTATAGTTTGAAATGATGAGAACCTTCATGCTCAGCTTTGATCGGGTTCTTAAAGAATTCATGATTAAAAAAAAAAAAAATGAACAGACTGCCATTGGCAAGAGAGAAGGCATAATCTCAGGACAAAGAGCCAAGTAAAGAAACATAACTTCAGAATATACTGGTTTACTAATTGTACTGCAAAAGCTTAAGAGGCTAGTCCAAATCCGTGTATTTTGTCAAAGATACTGATGTATTCATTTGCCATCTCCCTCTTCTCTTTCTCCTCCCCTTAAATTCCTCTCCTGATTTCCTTGATTTGAAAACACATTCAGTGTTTTTTATTTGTTTGTTTTCTTCAAAACCAAACTATGAGTGTGCTAAAGAAAGTGGGGGAAAGGGCCACTGGTATTAGGGGGGACTAAAGAATGGTGGGGAAAATCAGAGTTAAACTCACAAGCAAATCAGCCATCTACTATAGTTTGAGAAAGGCATCAAGATGAGTCCCAAAACAAGGGAAAGCACAGCAAATAGGAATGAGTTTTGGGACATCAAACTGGCTACCATGTCCCATCGAGGTACACAGGAAGCCATTTTTAGCTACTACTCTCCTCTTGAAAGGGTTAATGTATCACCCCAGTTACAGACATTGTAACACAATGCATCACAGCTTAGATGCCAAGTTATACTAAATGGACAAACATTTAAATTATGGAGGGCAAAGAGCACCAACGAGAAGACTAAGAACCAAGAAAAACCTGCCACTGCTTTGCTAAGTTTGTTCAAACCACCTACTCAAGTGTTTTATTCAAACCCAAATGGGAGGCACCGAGTGGCTCCCAAGTCTTTCAAACATGCCTTCCTCCTTCATCCGCCTCTTTTCTCCTGGCAGAGCAGCGCCCACAAGAATGCACCGTTATCTTACTCGAGACTAAAAATTCAACTTCGTGTCTTAGGAGAAGGCCATCAGCAAATCCTAATCTCCAGGGTTCTATGAGCAGAGTACCAGGCATGCCGAGGGCATTTGTTAGGTGGCTTTTGCGCAAGTGAGTAGCCAAATGAATAATGAGCAGACATCTTTCACTGCCTGCTGCCACCGTGGTGACATTAGAGGCGGCCCTGGGCATGGGAGAGCAGGCACCGCCTCAGAGTGGCTGGAGCCTTACAGGGTGATGCTCTCCCCAGAGGTCTGGTGAGGTCAGGAGGCACTGCCTCTTGAAGGAACCTACCGAGAAGGTAGGGGGTAAGAGAGCGTCGTAGACAGAAATCATGCTCCGCCCTCCAAAGATGGCGGCGGCCTAATCCCTGGCACCTGTGAACACTGAAGGAGTATTAAGGCTGCAGCTGGAATAGACGTTGCTAATCACTGAAACCCAGATGGGGAGATTTTCCCGGATTATCTAGGGGAGTCCAAAGTAATCACTAGGTCTTCAGAGGAAGAGCAGGGGCAAAAGCAAGGGCCAGAGTGACGCACAACGTGGACCTGACCGGCTGTCGCTGTCCGGGAAGATGGAGGAAGTGCTTCGAGCCAAGGACTGGGCAACTTGTAAAAAGTGTAAAAGGCAAGAAAATGGATCCTCTCCTAGAGACTACGGAGCGAAAACAGGCTGCCCACACTTCAAAACTCGTCCTGAACTTCTGACCTCCAGAATTTAAGGTAATAAAATTATGTTGTTTCCAGCTACTAAGCTTGTGGAAGGCTTGATGCAACAGCCGTATGGTACGGAGGGTCCGTGAAGAGCAGGGAGGGACTAAGAGGCTGGAAGACTGGCTTTGTCATTACTAGCTATGGGACCTTAGGGAGGTCACTTAATGGCTCCGAGGCTTTGGTTGTCTCATCGTTATAGTGGGTTAAAACTAGCCACCTTATCAGGCTACTTCCAGTGTTAATTGGGATCACATATTTGAGTGGCCCAGCTCCTGGGCTGTCACAATGTGGGTGCTCATCATCACTCTCTCTTTCCCTCTTCTCCCCTACCCTTCACAGCCACCGGGTACCAGAATGCAGTGCAAGGATCACTAAGGAAGAGAAAAAAAAAGAAAGGATACAATGAATGGAGATAAAGAGTCAATCTCGCAGGGTCTAGGATGGGGAGTCCACACCACTCACCGCTGCTGGGATGGGGCACCCATTCTGTGGTCTCTTTAGGGTTTCATAAAATGAGGGTTTGAAGGGCTTTATCATTTGTTTGGCAGAAAAGAGGTACAAAAGGAAGGGGATAGAGTGTGAGGAATAGGAGACGTTTGGGGGTGGAACAGGAAAGAGAGAGAGGAAGAAAAGAAAAGAAACATAGGGTGGGACCCAGGCTGGAAGAAGATATGGGTGGGCTCTCCCCATTATGGGAACTACACTTCTGAAGAGAACTTCAAAACAAGTTGGCTGTTCCTCTTTCTTTTTTGTCCCTCCCCCGACAGAATCCTACCCTTCGTTTATGCACACAGCAGACCACAGCCATGCACACACACCCATGAGCATGTTGAAGGTAGATTGTGGGTCTGGGACAGCAGGGGGACAGGTGCCTACATTTATGCCAGATTTCCAAGGTTATGATGGACCTTTGAAAAGCACTGGAGAAATGTTCTCTTGAGAACAACAACTAAAAACTAGTTAAATCCTATTATGTCTCTGGATCTGTCATTCAGATTCCTTTTTCTAAGGTGGTATGGGAGAGTATCTTTCTCTCTCTCACTCTCTCTCTCTCTCATCTATCTATCTATCTATCTATCTATCTATCTATCTATCTATCTTCCTACCTATCTACCTATTGTCTATTTCACAATGTAGGCAAGATTTCTGCCATAAATGACAATGTTATGCTAGGAGAAGGTTACGAAGAGTGGAAAATGCAAAGTTCTAAGTTTAAATGCAACGGCTTACTCCCTTTCAGACTGCAGCCAACGCAGATTCCATGACACAGAGCTGTAAAAGCACTGGGACAATTTCAAGAGAGAGCATCCAAATTGTAATGAAAATCATTGCTATGGCTTGGATGTACTTTGTATTCAGATATTTTTTTTATTAAATTTTGTGATATTGCACAACTTTGAATAGGTCATCTTGTGGTTAGGACACATCTATTTCTATTAACACATTAAATTTGAAGAAATAAGGTGATTTTAACCCATCTTTTCAGTTGATTAAATTATTCTGCAGAAATCACAAGAAGAAACTCACAAAATATTGTTTCTTTTAAAGGGATATTTATAAATTGCAAAATGACTTGCTGTGTAATATATCTAGCTTCAAATTATACCGACAAGATGCCTTCCCTTTCTTCTTTTTCAAGCCAATCTAAAATTGAATTAAGTATCACTTAAAGACATTAGCTATTGAGATCTTTCAATGCTTTTAGAAGGAAAGAGCAAAGTCTTCTAAAGTGACCATGATCTGTTTAAGTAAATATTTTCCCTAAAGGTTCACTGTATAATTGAACTTGAGATGACACGAGTAAACACACAGACATGCTGCAACATTTTAGGAAGTAATTTACCATTTCCTCTGATTTTGGCTAGCTCTTTCAGATGTACACATTCTGCTGCAATTTCTCACAGTACCGCTTCTTCTAGAGGCTTCCCAATGTGGGTAGCCAATCGTGCTGATAAATTGGTTAATTGACAGGCTCGGAAATCTTGGGGGTGGGGGAGGGAAGACAAGTCACTGCTTTTCTCCTTCTGACTTTTGCTCCACTATCCCCAAATGGCTTTACAACTGAGTTTACAGGTCAAAAGATTTTTTTTTCTACAAATACTCACAAACTTCTGTTGGGATATGCAGAGGTTTTCGCAAAAGTCAACATTTACTTAGTGTAAAGAGCTTGAGGTCTGGGCCACTAGAGTGGTCACCATACTGATCCAACCCTGAAAACCAGCTGGAGTGGCTGAATTATACAGGTATTCATCTTTGTGCCCCAAAGAAGCCTGCTCGCGGCAGTCAAAACCAAAGTGGGAACTTAATAAAATTGAAAACTGTGGTAACGAAATACACTTACAAGGTTAATCTAACATACTGCAAAAAATTGGGGAGGTTAAAGTGGTTTCTATATAACCACAGTACTGATTTAGAAAAAAACCAGAGAAACAGCTGCATTTTGATACATGACCTGCCTTGCTCAAATAGGAAACCCCAGATTTTCAGGGTGCATCAGTCTTGAGATGCTAGCCTTTGAACATAAGTCCGGGGGAAATCGTATGCATCGCTTATTGGGAAATAACGGGCTAAAAAGACCTGTAGAAGTTCACAGTCACGTATGAGGGAAACACGTATTTGCCTCAGAGATCACACTGTTCATTTCTTTTACTGCAGAGAGGCAAAGATGAGAAAAAGTAGTCAGTTCTGCTGACCCAGTCAGTTTTGAATTTAAGAAAATTGTGACCTTACCCCTGGGTTCTCCAATTACCTGGGAATGTCTCCATTTCTGGCACGTGGTGGCAACTGGCTGAGGCAGACCTGGCAGAATGCTTTCCAGCTGCTGGAAGATGAGCTCCTGCACGTCCTCGGTGCTGTGCTCCAAGTATGTAACTCCGAACGGGACAGTGGTGTGAACCACCAGGGAAGGTCCGACTTCTGAGGACTCTGGTAGAAGAGGGACACAAAGACACACCTTAAAGATGGTAACATGCAAGTGTCTGTCAGCATTGCAAACCAGAGTTAAGAGAAAAATCACAATAATCAGATAATAAATAGAAACAGATTCTAATCTATGACCACAAAATGAGGCTCTCTCTGAAATTCAAACTCAAACTTCTCTGAAAAGAACAGAGTTATAATGTTATTATTTAATTTAATTTTATTTTAAGTTTATTTACTTTTGAGAGAGAGAGAGAGAGAGAGCACACGCCTGCACAAGTTGGGGGGAGGGGCAGAGAGAGAGGGAGAGAGAGAACCCCAATCAGGATCCACACTCTCATCGCAGAGGCTGACACAGGGCTTGATCTCACAAACCATGAGATCATGACCCGAGCTGAAATCAAGAGTCAGATGCTTACTCGACTGAGGCCCCCAGCCCTCTCCCCCCAACGTATTTTAAAGAACACATTTTTAAGTCTTACTAAAGAACTGGAAGGAAGGAGAAGAACATCTAGTAAGTTCTGCCTTGGGTAGAATCAAATTTGTCATTGTGTTCATCTTCTCTCATCTGCTAAATTAGAAGGTCTCCAGGGCAAGAGCTGTTTCTTATTGATATAGCTCATGTTCTTCTTAAATTCTGAGAACAAAGTAGATGTCCAGTAAATATTCATTCATTTTATGTTTAATGGGTTGCAAAATATTTTGTTGAAATTATATTAAAATACAATATCTTCGTGATGCCCAGGTGGCTCAGTGGGTTGAGAGTCCAACTTCAGCTCAGGTCATGATCTCACAGTCCATGGGTTCGGGCCCCACATCAGGCTCTGTGCTGACAGCTAGCTCAGATCCTGGAGCTGCTTCAGATTCTGTGTCTCTCTCTTTCTCTGCCCCTCCCCGGCTTGTGCTCCGTCTCTCTCATTCTCTCAAAAATAAATACACGTTAAACAAAATAAAATTAAATTTAAAAGTAAAATAAAATAAAATATCTTTACCACTTAAAAAACTCAACCTTCTCTCTAAATATGGGCCTGACCTCATAATATTTTTCATAGCATTAAGAGAACAAGCTCCCTTATTCATAACATGGAGCTACTTTCCAATTTTGTTTGCCATTGAATTTTTTTTGCTATATTTTCATAATTTCAAAAAATGTACATCTGCTTTGTACCTTTCACTCTTTCACAGAATATAGAAAATCGAGTGAAGTTTTAAGCTTAAAACAGAGTGGTCAAGGCATTAAAAAATATAGTTTTGGCAGGAGCATTAAGGGTTCTCCTATTATTATTATTTGTTTCAATCACGCAGAAGAGAAGGCTGGGAGGAAAATAATAGATCTGAGATGCATAAAAATAATATTAAGATATTTGGTGCTTGCCCCACCCTTTGCCAACATAAAATATTAATGTGTAGAAGGGACTGATGGGGGTTGGCAAGCCCGATTCCGAAAATTCTAATTTAGGATTATAAAGGATAAGACGACCTATTGAAGGTTGGTTTGTACAGTTTCACACATTAAAAAAAAAACCCTGTTGAACAACATAAGCCCCTTGCTTGCTATAGGCCCATTTACTCTCTTTACTTTTCAAGGCTGTTGTTTTGTTTGCTGTAAAATCGGAATGGTAGCACATATTGCACAGGTTTGTGGTTGGGACTATATAACATAATGTGTGTGAAGTGCTCAGCACAATTTCTGGTATAGAGTAGGCACTTAATAAATGTGAGCTATGAGACTAGAAGCAATAAACCAGATATATACAAAAGAAAAGGTTCTCTGGTGTTGCCCAAATGGTGGGTGTGCATTACTTTTTTAGGTACTTCATTTCTTCCCACTGCTCTGAGAATACTGGATTATGAATTTTACAGCAAAACACAAGGAAAAGGAGTCCCAAAATATGTTGTAAGCCTTTTAAAGTGAAGTGGGTGCTCCTAAATGTTTTTATATGTAAGAGGCGGGACAGCTGGTTCGGAATCTGTGCAGGAAATACAGGGGCATGGAGACTGGCCACTGGTTTCACAAGGGGGGGACCAAGGATTGCAAAGCCTCAGGGCCTGTCATGAGGCTCTGGGCTGGGTCAGTCGGCAGAGTTTGGGACTCTTTCTTTTTTTATAAATTAAAAAAAATTTTTTTAATGTTTACTTATTTTTGAGAGAGAGAGAAAACACAAGTGGACAAGAGGGGCAGAGAGAGAGAGAGACACAGAATGTGAAGCAGACTTCAGGCTCTGAGCTGTCAGCAGAGCCCGATGTGGGGCATGAACCCACACATCGTGAGATCATGACCTGAGCCAGAGTCGGAGGCTCAACTGACTAAGCCACCCAGGCGTCTCAAGCTTGGGACTTTTCATCTCAGGGGTTGTAAATTTAAGCCCCACATTTGGTGTAGAGATTACCTAAAAATAAAACCTTAAAAAAAAAATCCTGTCACCCATATTGCCTCAGAGAATGTTATTTATGTGACTAGGTAATAGATTCAGAAAGGCTTGCTCAACAACGGGGTGTCAATACCACCCCTCTTCCGTAAGGTACCCAATCTTCCCAGAGACAGAGAAAGCTTCTGGGTGGACATTCTGAGGCACAAGAGTTGGGGTTCTGAGCTGGCTTATCGATGGCAGGCTTCAAAGGAGAGTGAAGGGCTAGCTGCGTGCTGAGAAGTTGGAGGTGCGCTGACCCAGCTATTTGTTCTAGGGAGGACTTGAAAAATTACCAAGGGCAGTTGTGGTGTGTTCCCAGGCTCCTCCCACTTAGCCATCCAGGACAAGAAGAAAGGTAAAAAAGGAAATTTAAGACCAAGATGCAACGATTCTCACACGGCAATGAGAGAACAACCTGGCTTCTTGGTTTTATTGGAATCAGACTAAAATTTTTGAGAATTTAGATTAAAATCTGAATAGCTACAACCTAACACAACAGATTTTAAGCGAAGGCTCCCTCAACCCCCAAATGAAATGGTATTTGTAGAAGCTGAAGTCCCAAAATACAAAGCTGAAGTCCAAAAATACAAACAGCCAACCAGAGTTTCAACACAACGAAGGTTTGGAAATAGAGCATGGTAAAGAGCCACAAATATGGTTCATTATTCCTTGGTCACTGGGAAGCCAATGTTATCTTCCCCTTTCTTCTCTTTATTCAGTTTTACAAGCACAGCTCTTTGCTTTTGGCATATTAAACATAAGTCCACAGCAAGGTGACAACTATTTGTGTACACTGGAAGATCGATGGCTTTCGTCCGAAGAGAAGTTCTTGAACCCAAGCATCCTAACAGCCCGGTGGTCCTGGACAACTTAATCTCTCAGGCTTCACCTTCTTACATCAATTAAAAGGGAGCAATACTACTTACCTTATAAGGCTGTCACAAGGATTAAATGGGTTAGGACGCATACAAATCCTTCTGCAAATATGAAGTACTACACTGATGGAACGCATCCCCACACAATATTCTTGTTCTGACCTGTCTCTAGTGTACTAAAAGCAGTTTTAGAAAGAGATAACGGAGTTAGCTTCTCTCAAAGCAGGAATATTGATTATTATACCAATAGTATGTCAAAACAGTGCCAGACTATTCCTAGATATAGGCACAGCAGTGTTGGGATTTTTTTTTTTTATCGTGGTAAAATATACATAACATAAAACGTATCATTTAACATATTTTAAGTATACAGTGGTCTCGCCTTAAGTACTCCCACGTTGTCCTGTAACCATCACTGCCATCCGGACCCATTGCTTTTTAATCTCTCCATATAAACTGTATACCCATTAATCATTGACCCTTACTTCCACCTTCCCCCAGCCCTTATCAACCACCATATCTATCTCTCTCTATGAATCTGACTACTTGAAGGACCTCATATAAATGGAATTATGTAATATTTGTCCTTTTATGACTGGTTTATTTCATTTAGCATGATGTCTTTCCGGTTCATCCATGTTGTAGCAGGGCGTCAGAATTTCCCTCCTTTTGAAGGCTGCATAATATTCCAGTGTGTGGAAGGACTACATTCTGTTTATGAATCCATCTGTCAATGCATTCTTCCGCCTTTTGGCTACTGTGAATAATGCTGCTATGAACATAGGTGTGCACACACCTCTTTGAGGACCTGCATTCACTTCTTCTGGATGCATATCTGGAGGTGAAATGGCTGGTTCATATCGTAATGCGGTGTTTAAATTTTTGAGGAATCCCTGTATCAATTTCCCACCATTTCTTCGTTCCCACCAGCAATGCCAGAAAGGTTCTAATTTCTCCATATCCTCAGCACTTGTTATTTTATGTGTTATAACAGCCATTAGTCTACAGTTTTGAGTGGGGGTCAAGACTTGAACGGTTGGTAACAGCAGCAGGAGCCTCAGTAGTAGCAGCAAAGCAGCATTACCATCTTCGTTGATAGAACATTGAGCTCCAGAAGTTCTTGAGTGAAACACTTATAATCAAAGCCCTAGAAGTCCCCTGCTCTCCAAACAGAAAGAGAACCTTGTCTTGAAAGAGTACATGAGCTGCCTCGGATTCATGGTCATAGGAGTCATAAAAATAACCACTAACAGGTTAAATATGCTTAAAGACCCGATGCTACTTATAATAAAACACATTTTTAAAGCAAATCCTAACTCAGTTGTGTTAAGTCAGAGAATGTGATCCTAATGATACTCTAAGATCTCTCGAATGGCTTCATACATAGTCTGTTTTCATTAAGTGTTATCTGGGTGCTTGAATAGAAATTTTTAGCTGTTGAATTAAGTTTTAGTAAGTCCATTAGAACAATCTTATCAACTGTGTGCTTCTAATCAACTAAATTCTTATGAATTCTCTGCTTGATCAATTACTGAAAGAGGTATATTAAAAATCTGTCCTGAATATGATATAATTTCCAATTTCTACTTTTACTTCTGACATTGTTTGCTTTATATTGAAGCTATGTTACCAGTTTCTGGCTATTTCCCTGTAGCTTGTAACAAGATGTTGTGAACATCTTTACATTTAGGAAAGCCTTGAAGTTTATTTTCTGTTTTTT